GCCAAATGTCGAACCTTTCTTCTATTTTTCCACTGCATGTCCACTATGTTATAACCACAATTGCCATCTGTCAGTGTTCTAAATATTCTCTCCTCTGAAATTATCGCCTAAATTTGTGACTTTTTAGAGAATTTTGACAATGAGATGATGCTTATGTACGGAATAAGAGAAGCACCTGAAGGATGCATTCCATATGACTATGTAGCAAAGAGTATGAATAGGTAATATAACATAAAGGAGAAATAAATTTAAAAACAAAAGAAATTTAAAAAATCCTAGCAAACAAAAAAGTCACTCAGGTTACATATTCTTCATTTCTTTTTAATTGATGAATCATCCAAATGTTCAGATTTCAGCAGAAATTCGAGTCTTTTTGTTCCTGAATTTTAGCTTTTGTTCATTCACACAGTGTAAATATTTATGTAGACTTTGCTAAGCAACTTTTTAAGCAGGAAAATGTAGAAGATAATCCAATTGTGCTTTTATTCCCACAATTTCCATTTCCATTACCATTCTAAATGAAAAATTAAATCATCTTGCGAGAATGGATAAGGCCATTCTTGAGCAAGATAGATTTGGACATATGTGCTAGTGAGCCTGAACAAAATGATTTCACTCTTTATGCCTAATTTTATCATCTTAAATTTGTCTATCTCTTTATTACTATTGTTGCCTTTCACTTCATTTTTTTTTTAAGAAATGATGAAAGAAAAAAAAAAAAAAAACAATATAACCAGATGCAGTATCACAGAGCTGTAATCCCAATCCCAGTGACGCTGGATGCTAAAGCAAGAGCATTGTAAATTCCAGAACAGCCTGGTAAATATAGGGGGATCCTCATCAACTTAGCAAGACCCAGTCTCAGAATAAAAGATAAAAAGGACTGGGGATATAGCTCAGCGGTAAAGTACCTTTAGGTTAAATTTCAGTGCAAAGAAAGAAAAGATGAGATAGAGGAAGAGAAAGAAATAGAGAAATTACTGTTAGTTTATATATTTTTTTCATGTCATAAATAATAACTGTTTTATGACTTAAAGATGGTTTGGCTAATATTGCTATTTATCTGCTAGATAATAAATACTATTTTAAAGGCATTTTAGTTGTAATTATAATGAATGAACAAAAGCATTTTGTTTTATTATTTTATTCTTTTTAAACAAACATGAATTATTTTGAGGGTATGCCTATTATATGACCATTATAGTAAATGTTAACTATGCATAAAAATATAAAGACTAAATCAGAAAAGACCTAAATTATTTTCATTCAGGAAAGTCAATATGTCCTTTTATTCCACATTCTCTCAGAGACTGCTAATATGCATGCACTTCCAGTAATTACAGCATGTATAAAATATTACCTGAAAGTATACATTTTTATCTTACTTTGTTTTTTTAATTATATTTTATTCCTACATTTTTTTTTTTACATTTCAACACAAGCTTAGAATTTCTTTAAAATGTTGACTAGAACAGCCAAGTATGCATGGGGCAAAGTACTCAAGTGAGTTAATCTGTTAGAACTAAGAGCACTCTTTGCTTTTATTTTTCTGTACTATACAAATATATAATAGACATCCTTCCACAAACAATATTTGAAATTGTACAAACATTTGTATTTCTATAAGATGAAGTATCCTAGGCACTGTTTGTAAACTGTTTTGATTTTTCTTTAAAATAAATTAAAAAGCTTAGTTACTTTCCCAAAAGATATACACCAGAGATGGGGAATAGCATATATACTGGGAACTGGAAGAAAGTAGAAGTCATCCTTGATGATTCAAGTTCCAACAAAATCACTTTAATGAAATGACTAATTCATGTATATGAGATTTTAGGGCTATGGTGACACATTACCACATTGTACCACCTAACACAAAACACTATTTGGGAAGAATAATTTCAGGCCTCCTTTTGCTCTTGGTGGCCACTGGTGTTCTTTGACTTGTGTCTCTGTAGCTTCAATCTCTGTTACCATTTGCCATAATTTTGTCTTTTGTCTGCAGGTTTTATATCTAAACTTCTCTTCTAAGGACTCCTGTCAAAGGATTTAGGTCCAACCATAATTCATGATAACCTCTTTTAAAAATTCATACTTTAAATACATCTGCACACACTTTTCAAAGTAAACCATATATATATCTATCCTGGTTGGACATATCTACTGAGTGGAAACCATCAAATTGACAGTACATTGACATGAAGAGAGTAGGTAAAACACCAGATATTTGAAATTGTATGTAGAAATTACTACAGTAATACCAGAGGCTATAAGGAGGGAAAATAGTGTTATCAGATAATGGTGAGATCTGGGAAAATAGAGAATTTCATGAATATATTTAGTCTTAATTTAGTCTTAGAGGGACATGGATTAGCAACAAGAGAGAAAAGCGTCCCACTCCCCCCCCAACAAAAAAACTCAAAGAAATCCTCAAGATTTCTCTACATCTACTGCCTCAGCTACTGTCAGTTTTTCAACTGTCTAAATCCTACCACATTGTCTGAAAATACCAGAAAACACTTCTGAATGACTAAAAAGAATGATAATGAGAGAGTGTGACCTTAATAAATGGTTCTACAACTCCCTCATTTGTCTTTCATTTTTCTCCATGAAAGATTGATCTTCAAAATTAAATTACTTTAATTGAGCTAAGCTGAACTTTGATTATAGAGAAGCCACTATCTTAACAAGTGTCTCTTGAAATAATATGTGGTTATCATACACATAATTATCATTATTTAGGAATTTAGGAACAAAACTATTTGGAGCTGTTATGTCTATATGACAATCAATATAGCCAGTTATTTATGTTTTCAACATTTTTACTCATGTAAATAACTTAGCATTTTCCTCAATGTTATCATGAAATCTTTGATCCATAGACTATAATGTGATGAGATATTTCTATAAAAGTGGTAAAGAAATTAGAGATCATCCATCCCTTCTCATTGATTTAGTTTGTGTCAACCATTTTACACCACCTGTCATTTCTATTTGCTTATTATCTTATTTTAATCAGGAGGTCAGAAATAGTTGCCACAAATTTCTGTTATCTTATTATTAACTAGTCTTCTTTTCTACATCTTGTAAATAAGATTTATTTTGTGTGTATTCATAATTCACTGGGATGAAGTTTCTCATGGAAGGTTATCCCAAAGGAATCATACCTAGCTATTCTGTAACAACAATTCCTTACTACAAAATGCTCTCTGAAACACTTACATGAATGATATGAACCACTTCTAACTTCTTGGTAATATTGTTTTTGTGCAGGTGGGTTAGGTTCAGAGTAGAGTTTGTTTACAGTGTTGCTTGCTTCTGGGATAAGATCTCTAGGGCTTGCACAAATCTAGACTCCATGAAGCACATCTATCACTTCTCCCAAGCCTTCTTAATATGTTGTTCCTTCTCATCTCTATGCCTACATTCTGAGTTAAATCTAATCTAACTCCTTATTTAAATCAATCCTTTCATTTCCAGGATTATTCTAGTAACTTTGTCTCACTGTAAGTAATTCTATACATAGAACTCAGGGAGAATCTTTAAAGATGTAAATCTCATCATTTTAATTGTACTGTTTATTGTAGAGGATATAGATGCACCATTGAATTGTGGCACACCCCTATATTCCCAGCTGTTTAGGAGGTTGAGACAGGAGAATCACAAGTTCAAAACCAGCCTCAGCAACAGCAAGGTGCTAAGCAACTCAGTGAGACCCTGTCTCTAAATAAAATACAAAATAGGGTTGGAGATGTAGCTCAGTGATTGAGTACCCTTGAGTTCAATCCCTGATACAAAAAAAAAAAAAAAAAAAAAAGTTCTTCCTCAATAATTTTTGTTTTTTATTTGATAACTACCTGTTTAATGCCTATCTTCTTTTTTTTAATGTTTATTTTTTAGTTGTAGATGGACACAATACCTTTATTTATTTATTTTCATGTGGTGCTGAGTATAGAACCTAAGGCCGCTGAGCCACAACTCCAGCCCCCAAATGCAACCTCTTTTATGTGATTTCTTATTGTCTTGCAGTCTTGTCTGGGCTTCTTTTTTTTTTTTTTTTCTTTTGGTTCAAGGGTTTGAACTCAGGGGCACTGGCCCACGAAGCCACATCCCTAGCCCTGTTTTGTATTTTACTTAGAGACAGGGTCTCATTGAGTTGCTTAGTGCCTCCTTTTGCTGAGGCTGGCTTTGAACTCGCAGTCCTTCTTCCTTAGCCTCTGGAGCTACTGGGATTACAGGCCTGCACCACCATCCCAACTTGCCTGGGCTTCTTGACATAGAAGTGAAAAGATTTCCATTGTTTAAGAAAATAATCCCTAATGACCAAATGCTATTCATGTTTGCTAGTCACTTTGGCCAAGGCTAAATCACACACTCTAACCAACAGTCACTGTGTGAAAGAAAAAGAAAAAAGACACGGGTACAAGAGTAACAATTTTTGAGGCCATTACTATATGTGTGTAATATGATCACTTATTTGCACAATTACATAAATGTATTACATATATGTATCATGTTTATTAAAATATTTCTCAATATAAACCTCCATTTTTTGACATTTTTAAGTAAATAGTACTGCAATAAACATTATATTATAAACTTATAAGTGCTAGTCATTCTTGTTTGTATCTTTATACACACATCTATTCCTATGAGATAATTGTTTAGTAATATCTGCAGATCTATCATATTTTGTTTTAGTGGTGGATGCTAATGTAGAGTGTGGAAGCCTTCAACTTAGAAAATACTATATGTCATATCATCTTATTTAGTCACACTCTTCTATTTACTAGTTTACAGTGAGGAGAAAAATCTTATTTTAAAAGTATAGCATTGGTAATTAATTAATACAAATGTCATAACTCTGAGAAAATAAGGTTCATTAAAGAGGAATTACATTATTAGTTTTTTTATAAATTAGGGCAAGATTTAATTAGTTTCAAATTAAGTATGTATAAAATTAGTCATATAAGGCATTAATATTTGTTACATTAATTTTCTCACAATGTTAACGATTTGAGAAGAAATTTTCTTAATGCCTCTGTAACGTCTTTATTGCGCAGACTGTATATCACTGGATTGAACATCGGGGTCAAAATAGTGTAGAAAAGAAAGAGCAGCTTGTCTGTTCCTTCATACGGATTGGATTTGCTGTTTAAATAGGTAATACTGGCTGATCCATAGAATAAAAGTACAACTATAAGGTGGGACGAGCAAGTGGAAAAGGCTTTGGCCCTCCCAGTATTTGATGGCAACTGAAGGATGGTTGAGATCATTCTGCTGTAGGACCCAAGGATCAACATAAAAGGAACAGTGACAAATAGTAGAGCAAATACATAAACCATCATCTCATTCACAAAGATGTCCCCACAGGCCAGCTTGAGCATTGGAGGAATGTCACAGAAGAAGTGGTGAATTTGGTTCGAATCACAGAAGGGCAGAGAGAAAATCTGGCAGGTCTGCCCTACATGAAATGGAATTGCAATGACCCAGCAACCAACTACCAGCCGGACACAGATCTTATGGCTCATGACTAGAGGGTAGTGCAGAGGGTTACAAATGGCCACATAGCGGTCATAGGCCATCATCACCAGAAGGAAACATTCTGTGGCTCCCAGTATGAGGAAAAAGCACATTTGTGTAGCACAGGCAAAAAAAGAAATATTTCCCTTCTGGGTCCAAAGATCTATAAGCATTCTGGGAAGTGTGACGGACACATAAGAGATTTCCAGGAAAGAAAAATTACTGATAAAAAAGTACATGGGAGTCTTCAGAGTGGGCTCTACCCTCGTTATTAGAATGATGATGCCATTCCCCAGCAGGATAATCAGGTAGATGACTAAGAATGTTCCAAAGAGAAACCAGTGCAATGTGGGAATATCAGAAAAGCCCAAGAGAACAAAGCCCTCCACTGAAGTAAGGTTGGTTTCTGTGATTTTCACTTTTTCTTTCTGTGGATTTACAGTTCTTGACTGCATTTTCTTCATTTCAAATTGAATTAGTATGTGAGTTTGGATCCTTATGATTTCTTAGTTTCTTTCTGAAGCCTACATGCTGTGATTCCAGGAGATCTGATGTGAAATGCAGAGTGAAAAATATATCAAATAAAAATGAAAGTTAATGTGGTGAATAAAATGTTTTTAAATATGAACTGATAATGTTAGACTGACTTTCTAATGATAGCATAAATAAGATCCATAGAGATGTATGCTGTTATTCCATTTATAATACCAGTAATGATAATTCTCATGGGTTTTTTCCAGTCAAATTGTAAAATTCTTCTTCTGTTTCCTTTTCTTATCTTTTCATTTTTAACCCAAGTTTTTGTCCAATTTTTATATTTAGAAAAATTTATTTCTCTCTTTAAATATTGTTTATCCCCTTAGTCTCAAATTTATCTAGGGAATTTTTGTTTGCTTGTTTTGTTATTTTTGCATTCACACACATAATCTCAATATCTCAAACTATTATATTCAAATAAAACTTCATTTTCCCATTATTTGTCATAGATGGAGTAAGTTCTGTATTTCTCCCCACACTTTTGAGACTGTACCCACTCCTTGACTGAATATATAGCAAGGTCATGAGATCGGGTAATCTTTTGCAGGACGTTTCTAATCACCATCTCTCATATATTAATAACTATGTCTCATTGCTATTAATCAACAATTTCAAGACATTCATTTAACTCAACATATTTTTATGTTACCCAAATACATTCATAATTATTACTTTACCAGGTTAGATAGAATTCAATTTTCAACATTCAAATGTCTCTTTACAACCACTTCTAGATTTGTAATTCATTCCAACCATTTTCCCCTCACATTTCCTCAATCACGAAAGCTGATCCCTAATTAAAAAAAAAAAAAAAAAAAGCAAAACCACATTTTCCTTCTTCTGACCATGGGCTGGGCCATCTGAGATAAACTTACTTACTCAAGAGAAAGGTATATCTCTTTGTTCTCACAGCTAATTTTGGGTGACTCTAAAGAGAAAAAATATTAGTATTATATATTATTTTTGCAATTGGGGTAAGTAGTATTTTCTGTCCTAAGATCACCTCACTCAAAGCCCACTATCTGTCATCCCTATTAACTGCTTCTTCTAACTTATTTTCTTGAATATGAAGGTAAGATGAAATTGATAAAAATTCAGATTATTCTATTAAACAATCCTCCTTCCTGCATTTAATTAAATAAGCTTTCTGATTTTTATTGTCTTTCAGATTCATTGAGATGAAATTCTCTATTGGAGTTTCCTCTGAAAGATCCTCATCTGATCATTAACCACAGACCAGCCTTTCCTAGAGGAACATTGAGAGGGATCTATTCCTTTCATACCTACATGAATTCTGTCAGTCTGTCATTGCTTCTACTGTACTAGCACCAAAGTTTTGAGGAGTGGAGACATAGTGGCTTTAATTTGTAGCAGGTGACTGCTTTTGGGACTGTGTTTTAAGCTCTTCAGTGCTGGATAAACATGAGCTACCTAGCACATACCCATCAGTGCTTGACAATTTTCAAATATGTTGCTTCTCCTTAACTCCATTCCTGGTTCTTACATAAATCTACTTTGTCTCTTCTGGAATAACCCTAGCAGCCTGACCCCACAGCAATTCATTCTGCACAGAACAGCAGGTGAATATTTAAAAGATGTAAATCCATCATTAGACATCTCTGTTAGAAGTAGATTCTCCTTGTACATGAAATAAGATTTAAACTCCTTTCCATTGATTAAAAACTGTTGTATAATTCGGTACTTGGAAATCTTTTTAATTTCATCAGCTAAATTTCTCTCCTCATTTGCATTTCAATATTGAGTTCTATCTCCTAAGAATGGAAATTTAAGTGTTGTCTCCTTTTATTTCTTATGATCATCAGGTTCATTGTGTGAATATTACTTCTAAGTATTTAGGATTTATCTCAAATGTCACTTCATAAAAGACCACCCCAATTATATTGTCAAGATTATATTATTACTGCTGAATTGGATTAATACCAGTAAGTGAATTGTTAATCATATACTATTGTCTTCTAATTTAAAACAACTTATTTATACCCCTACTTTTCATTATACCTGAGGAAAATTTGATTTTTAAAGTTCACATAATTTTTCCAGGTTTTCACATATTTTGGATTCCAAATCTATTTTTTTCTTCTATATACCCTTGGTTTGATATTTCAAAACATAACACCTGTATAGAAATCATTCTTATTTTTTTTAACTAGGTGATTTTTTTAATGTACTTTACTGGTTCTTCAGAAGAAACAGACACGATAATTCTTCAAGATCTCTATTACCATTTGTATTAGTCAGGTTTGTGTCGCTGTTATCAAAATTCCCAACATAACAACTTATAGGAGGAAAAGTTAATTTTGGCTCCTGGTTCTAGAGGTTTAGTCCAGGGTGGGCACAGTTTATTGCTTTGGGCTTAAGGTGAGGCAAAACTTTATGGTGGGAGGTCTTGGGTGAAGAAAACTGCTCCATTCATGGCACCCAGCAAGCAGAGAGAGGGAGGGGAAAGAGTCCCAGGGAAGTTGGACCCTTCCAAGGCATGACCCTGTGACCCATCTCCTCCAGCCATGCCCCACCTACCTAGAGTTACCACTCACTCAGTCAATTCAAACTGGCATGGATGGATCATGTTATAGCTCTGACAATCCAATCATTTCACCTCCTAACATCCCTGCATTAACACAAGAGCTTGTGGGGATACCACAGCCCAAATCATAACACCACTCATCAAGCTATTGTATGCCACACACAAAACCACTGAGCTACAGCTCAAGTCCTTTCCATTTTTTAAATTTTGAAACAGCCTCCCTAAGTTGGTGAGACTGACATTGAACTTGTGATCTTCTTACTTGGCCTCCCGCATGTATCAGTGCATCTGACTCTGTTATAGTTTGTATTGATTATTTTCTTATACTCCTGAAAATAAAAAATTGTCTTAATCGGGAATCTTATTGTTTTGAAATAACATTGACTTTAGGACATTTTCCATGTTTTTGCCAGCTTGAAACATTTTCTTCTTCCTGTTTTAGTTTCATATTGTTTCCTAAAAAAAAGTCTTAATTATCTCTTATATTCATCAAAGGCTTTGGATCAATAATGTAAAAATTAATATCTGCCATTTTGCTCACCTAAGACAATCCGAATTACCTGTATGTATCATAACTCCTCCCTTTTCTTTACCTCAGGGAGAAAAATAATTACTGCATAGGTACATGGGAATGTTTATGAAGCAGAAATATACTCTACATACACACTACTGTGAGGACAAAAACATCAAGTGTATCTAGAGCCAACTGCAATTCCCAACTCAATTAACTATTAAGCTAATTAGCTTTCTTAAAACTTCTTCCAATCAGTCTAGCCCATACCGCAGTCTGTCCTGTGACATCTGACAATACATTCATGTATTGGCCCTTGGAGTTCTCATCCACAAATTCACAAATATTTTCTGCCCTTGATATTACCTTGTGTGATCCAATTTTTTTCTTTTTTTTTGGAAAAATATAGGCAAGACTCTGCTCTACTATGTTACCCTATATATGATTTTTAATTAAGTTAAAAGTAGAAATTACCATGAGAATCAGTTATTTTCCATGAGAATCAGTTCTTTTCCATAAAATAAGAGAGGTAATTAAAAATACAGTGAGACTATAAAAGCATAAACTTGAATTTTCAGTGAGAAAAATTGCATTCTTCTTTGCCAGGTACATACAGATGTTTTTTCCTAAAAACCACAAACCTTTTGGAATTTTACTCATTTTTAATCCTATAATATTTTACTGTCTTTATTTCTCTTAAACCCAAATTAAATATTCCCATGGACCACATCAAACAATATATAGAAAGTTTAGCAAATGCACTGATATACTGTGTCCAACTCTTGCCATATTTATGGTCTTATTTGATTGGAATCACAAAAACAATGATAGGATATGGGTCAAATCCATTAAATTGTTGCTTATGAGTTGCATGAATTTACATTTTAAAAGAAATATTTGTTTTATATTTCCCATAACAGACAGAAATTTCCAAAGAAATAGGAATGATTTTATTTTTAATAGCAACAAATTTTTATTATCAACCTTAAATAACATACTTAATCATTATATTCAATGCAGCATTCTTTAATTTTAGTTTTCATATTTTTAAAATAAAAATTAATATTAAAATTATTAAGAACAAATAAATTATGGATTAACATATTTCATATTCTTGGAAAATAGTAATTTAACTCTTTACCTCATAAAATAAAATAACTACAGGGACAAACAAATAGTGGATTCATTTTAATACCAAGATATTATTTATAATCTAAATGCTTGATATTATTTATTGAATTGTTATCTTCAAATTAATAGTCCTAAAAGACAGAATATCAACATATAAGCAGTTTACCTTTTCAGTTTTGCCAAAGTAGCCTCCTTTTCATTGAATTTCTTATATTTTGTAAATATTTAAATAGATTGAGAGCTATATCATTTTTAAAGAAGAGCTTCACGTGCCTTTAAAATGGTTAGTGCTCTTTATATTAGAAATAGTCACTTCTTTCCAATGGGGATATCTCATCTCCCTTGCTACATATAAATTGTTAGCTGACTGCCCACGTTTATAATTAATTTGGTGTGATTTCAAAACATTTGCTCCATAGCAGATTAGACTTTTCTGATGGCTCTCCATAGAATAAAATTTCACACACTATTGTTTTTTCTCAAATGTAGTCAGCACACATGTCCTAGAAGAGATTATCCTAATTGTCTATTATGACCTAATATTTGTGGGTAGAAATTTTTAGCAAATGATGGCTCTTGATGACATCATCTGAACATGCTCAGCCCATTTTCTCATCTTTGAGGGATACTCATATTTTTGTAGAAATTTATGGTTGTGGACTAATTGTAGACAAAAGCAATTGTATCTCTTTTTTTGTTTGTTTGTTTTAGTTATAGATGAACACAATAAC